CAACAGTGGGGTTCTATTAGTTAGACAGAAGGAGAGAATGAATATTAGGTGGGCAATGAGTAGTAACTGCGCCACTATTATTTGATATTTTATGTAAAATGCTAAGCACAGTGCCTAGTACATATTAAGTACTCAACAAAAGTTAAGGTATAAACATTTCAGCTTTTAGAATAATAATTATTAGTATTACCAATCATCTATATTATCCTATGGCTAAATGGAGCTCTATCCCTGCTTTAAGGTCCAGGCAAATGACATTTCATTAAAGAAGTCTTTCCTGACACCTACTCCTAGTGATAAGTACCATGGTAGCAGAAGCCACACTTCAAAAAAAAAAAAAAACTCTGTGTTCACCACTGCATTGAGCACAGTCCCTTGAAAGAGTAAAACCAGTTGCTGTTGAGTCAATTCTGACTCATAGCAACCCCATGTGTGCCAAGGTAGAACTGTGCTCTGTAGGCTGATTTTTCAGAAGTAGATCACCAGGTCTTTATTCTGAGGCAACTCTGGGTGGACTCAAACCACCAACCTTTCCATTAGTACCTGAGCACATTAGCTGTTTACACCACTCAGAGTCTCCTAAAACAGAATAAATTAAAAAGCAAATAAATAAACACTCAAACCCATTGCCATCAAGTCAATTCCAATTCATCCCAAACCTATATAGGATACAGTAGAATGCTCCAAGGCTATAAATCTTTAGAGAACCAGACTACCATATCTTTCTCCCACAGAGTGGCTGGTGGGTTCAAACCATTAACCTTTCAGTTAGCAGCCAAGAGCTTAACCACTGCACCACCAGAGCTCCTTGTTGAACACAGTAGGTTCTAATAAATAATGTCTGAATAATTTAAGTAATTCATGAACATAGACATAATTGCTTTTACAGTTACTCCTCTGGAATCAAACTTGGTGCCTTCCTGAAATCCAAAAGTTAAACACTAGGTTTGTGTGTCATAAAGCAAAGGGTGGAGTGAGGAGATGAGGATTGCATTCTCAGAGAAACAAAAGAAAAATGTATAAATTCCGTAGTCACACCACACCTTTTAGATGCTGTGGAAGTTTAGAGTAGGTTTAGCAAATATTCTCTCCCTTACTATGGGCAGAGTATACTGTTACCCAGAGATACTGGGCTTCACCAGATGATTTGCTTTGCCCAAAATTGTTGTTAGTGAAAATGATCCACTCGAGAGGACTTACATTTGCTTATGTGGTTTAACTTGGCCCTTGACTCCAGTGATTTGCTATGCAAAGAACATGCCTCAAGTAGCTACTATCCCTTCAGCCTGGGCCCCCAAATATACGTGGAACAGACGTGAACCCAACCTTCAGCCTGCAACAGAACCACTCCAAGAAGCCCAGCCTAGATCAGGCAAATCACAGTCAACCTGAAGAGTCATGAATGTTGTGAGTCAGGGAATTTTGTTACACAGCAGAAGTTGACCAATATATCTTTTACCATCTGGTATCTTTAAGCATTTCTTACATATTTGTTCATTTTGTTCCTTTTCTTCACACAGTAAAGAACAGGCTGAAGTATCTCGACCATTATACACTCAATGATTTCCACTTTGAATGATCTGTTTTAAGTGTATGAGACCTGCATTATCATTATTATCCATACTGTCTTTTCCATTATTCCTAATCTTTCTAAAATAAGGAAAACCACAATAAAGTATCAAGGAATAATACAAACATTGAACTGTAGCTTGCAGGTAGGTTGTCCATGTGACAGCCAAAATGTTACCTTGCTAGCTGACAAAAGGGATTAAAGGATATCCTGGTAAAACAAACAAAAATGTAGATTGTACAAAAGTCAACATTACCAAAGGGAAAAACTGTCTATTCAAGTAAATTTGTGGTCTCTGCTGCTCCTCAGAAGGAAGATTGGGCAATCTACTTCTGTAGTTATACCACCTTGGAAACCCAAGGAGGGGTTGCTATGAGTTGGATCCAACTCAACGGCAGTTGAGTTTGGTTTTGGTTTTGACACTATTTATATAACTCATTTTTCAGGATACTTGTTTGGGCAAGCCATACTAACTGAGTTTCTGCAGTGGGAAGTCACTTGTAAGGCCTAAGTCTTGCATGACATTTCTAATATAATAAAACAAGAGGACCACACTATTTTAACAGAATAGTTTTAAACTTGATCATGTTTAATCACTAATGAAAAGGGATATCTTTGGAAGGAGAGGGTAAATAAAAATCCGACACATTAGCAAATGGAAAAAAAAAAAAAAAAAGAGCAAACTGAATGATATTAAGAGTACGTATCCATCCAAGGCCTGTTCAAAACTCCCACTGGTACTAGAAAAATGAAATAATGTGAATTTTGCTTTGTTTTACCTTCTTTTAAGTCATAATTCATCTGACTAAAGATGCGGAAGGAAGGTTGGGCAATCCTACTTCCATAGTGATACTGCCTCGGAAACCCAAGGAGGGGTCGCTATGAGTCGGGGCCGACTCGACGGCACATAACAACAACAACAACAACAACAAAGATGCTTTGATATTTGGAACAAAGGTCCCAATGGGTCAAAACTGGTCTTCTCAACATACATAGTACACCAAGTTACTGTATTTGCCTGTTGGTGGAAGCAGCAGCCTTTAAGTGAAGAGGCAAGTGGGATAGTGCAAGGACCATCAACATCAGACTGAACACACAAACCCCACAACTGAAACTTGAATTCAAGATCATGGCTAAGGTCATGGGTTCTGTACCAGATAAACCTGGGCTCAAGTTTGCACTCTCACACTGAGCTGCAGCAAGGTACTTAATTCCTCCTCTCTAGTTTGGGGATAATAATAGTACCTACCTCATTAGGGCTCAGAGAGGTTTAAAAATAATAATGCATGAAAAGCACTTAGCATACTGCCTAGCATATGCAGTGACAATATCCATGATAATAGTAATAGTAATAATACTGCCTTGATGAGCCTGGCTTCTACATCAAAATCATTCTAATTAATGGAGTCTGGCTCACAATCTGTTCATGAAATGCTGAATACACAGCTTTATATTCACATCCAGGTACAGCGCCTATAACGTGACAGCTCTCTACATTAACCAGTAGTTTTATTAATGAGTTCAGAGCAAAGAGGGTAGAAAAAAATAAGCCTTTGACTAGTAAAGAGTTGATTAGAATCTAGTTCTCTGTCCACCAACCATGCACCCTTGAAAATCCTGCTGGTTAAATCCACACTTCATCCTGCTGGTTAAATCCATGCTTCTATTACCATCCAATATCCCCCCCAACTGGGCAAGGCTTTTATTAAAGTATAGAAGCAGCCCAACAAGATGACTCACCTAAGGAAAAATCAAATGCCTCTACTCTCCAGAAGGATCTGGCTAGACTCCACCACCTCCAATATGACATCCAGCAAGAGAATAGGGCAGTCTTCACTTTCAGAAGTTGAGTTACACTGTCAAAACTAAAAGAATCCTTTCTATCGGCAGTAATCCTAATAAAGCAGGATTGCTTGATTCAAAAATATTGTATGCATCTGTCACACGCAGCCAAGAGCCAAGTACTATATATGAGAAGCAATGTGACTCTACAAGGACAAGAGTGACTATAGGAGACAAAGTGCCACACCCTTTTCCGAGACAGCTCAACAGTGAATGGTCTCTTATACAGGAGCCTGCGGCCATATCTAGAGGAACTGGTGGGCAATTCTAACCCTAACACACACACATTCCATACTTTACACAGTACCATTTCATTTTCAGTTTCTAGCCATTCAACAGTGGCCTCAGCATCCCCAACAACTAATAAAGAAGGGGTAGGGAATAGACAAGGAAACACTGATCAAGCATACTTGCTTCTAAGCCCATTTTCCAAGAGTTTGCTTCCCGGCTTGTCTGCCTCTCACAGCTGGAGCCCCATACCTGGTGCAAACCAATGGTTAAGTTTTAAACCGCTGATTTAAAAAGCCAACCAGGAAACTAACCATGACAAGGGGGAGCTGCCCTCCTCTCTTAGGCAATGATTGGCTCTTGGGGTTCCGACGGTATTCTTTCTGCCCACATAAGTGGCAGGTGTGGCTGTCAATCACAGAGGGAACTGACAATTCACCCCTCCGGGAGTAAATTGCCTTTCATCCAGCAAAGGCAGGTAGCCGCCTAAAATCGATCAGCTCCTAACCCAGCGGACCCTCCCTCTCTGGAGAACAGAGCCCCTTAAGTACAAAATAAATAAGGCAGTGCCGTTCTGAGAGTTTACGAGCGTTATTTTATTATCCCACACCAGGGCAGCGTTAATCTTCACTGTCCTAAAATGATCTTTCAAAGGCTTTGACAGTAATTAATAAATTAAATAGGTACAATCCCCCTCCTAAGTACCTCTTTCCTTGTATAATTCGAAGATAGGGAAGGGAAGGGAAAGAATGTCGTTCGATATAATTTCACATCGTACTCGTTTTCATACACCACCCCCCACCCCTCCCCAATAAATCCGGCTTCATTTCCCTGATACGTATTTTCTCTTTCTCACACGCTCCCCACAGAGCCCACCCGAGCAGCCAGGTACCCCACTCCCTGGCTGGGGCTACACCTTTCTGCACTTTGTTGGGCTTGGTGTTCCCCGCGACCTCAGCCCCTGTGAACAGCCCACTCCTCGAGGAAAGACGAGGAAGGCGAAAGAGGGAGCGCTGGAGAGAAGAAAGGCGATGGCAGGGAGGGTGGATGGTGGAAAAGGACTGCGGGAGGTAGCCCGGACCGCTGGGGCAAGCGAGCGACGCCCGCGCGCCGGGGGAAGCCGTGCACTTGTTCCAATCCAGGGGTTTATACATCTAGACAAATCCGCCCTTAGGCCGCCCCATCCCTTCCCCCGCCCAAGAAAGCCCGGGTTGAGGCGGATGGTTCACCCCTTTGCTCCCCCCGATAACGCATTGCAGCTCCCCAAGAGCGTGGGGGACCCGGCACTAGGGATGCCCGGGCACAGGCGCCCCGAGGGAGCCGGGCACCGGGCGGCCCCGGCCCGGCGTCTGCATCTCACCTTTCCGATGCTCGCCCGGGGGCCGTCCCACATGGATTTTTACAACCTCACGTCGCCTTGGCCCCGGGCGGCCGGGAGGAGCCGGCGCCGGAGCCCAAGCGAGCAAGAGCGGGAGGAGGAGGAACGGGGCGGGGAAACGGAGAAGCAGGGAGGGAAGAAGGGCGGGCGCCGCTCCAAGGACCAGGGCCGGGCTCGGGGCCGGGAGGGGCCAGGCGGCCGAGGG